GCAATGTTTTCGTCATTTCTTCCTGTCGAAGGACGCCCGGGGCGTGGCATGTCTTCTGTTGACATGTTGCCAGATTTGAAACGGGAAAACCACTTGTAGACCTGTGATTTCCCCAAAACATCATCATTAAAGGCTTGCCGAAGCATCCCAACAGTCTCGGCTGCAGTTTTCCCTAACAGAAAGCAAAATTTCACGCACACTCTTTGTTCCTTATGTTCGGCCATCTCATTAATCGCCAAAGGGTTGAAACAGGAACGCACACAATAGAGCACCACAGACAAACCACTTAACTCAGACTGACGCCAGCTCACTAACAGTCGCGGGAGACCCCCAGCTAACACCACCTAGCATCACAACTTGTAACTACAAAGCATGCGCGCGCAACAGGTCGGTTCCGGTTATTTTTGGGTCCCCCCTCGTACATCATCCAAGATCCTGAACTTATTTAGAATGTTGAGACATGATCAAATCTGACAGCAGACTTGTTTATACTCATTCCTATTGCCCCAAAGAACATGTCCAAACATGCTCAACCGAGCTAGCAAAATTCCTCACCTTTCGCTACAAAGTAAACGTGTTGGGACATGATCGCCTGAGCTCCTCACACCGCCAAACCTGCCCTACCAACCCCTTCCACTGCCCCCCCCCACCCATTTTCTATTTGTATTATTTTTTAGATTCACTCATAAATATTATATTAAAGTAAGAAATAATTATTGGATATGGTTTTTAGAATCAACAAAAGGATACCAGATTTCATGTTGAAGAGAAATTTCGCCCAAAATTAAACTAAAAATATTAGTTTTGCAAAAAAAAAATTGACATGATGGATTTTTTTTTACTATTATTTCCGGTTTTAGTGAGTAAAAATCTATAAGAAACAGTAAAAATATCATGCAGTTTTTTGGTTACAGACCTGTGTTATCATATACTTCACATATTTGTTTAGACCAAATATCCAGGACTTGATAGTGATGTACTGGGCAAACTGAACACCTTAGCAACTTTTGGCATGACAACTTGCTTATGGAATGTTTCTTTTTTTCGTAACCTGTTCTAGTTCCTTTCGCAACATTATGTAGTTTTCATTGAAGAGCACCTTAACAGTGATAGAGAAGTGTAGGTTTTAAACTTGCATTTCTCAAAAATCATATGAAGCATTTCTGACAGGATTCTTTTGGATATATTCTTCAGATATTTTGTTCACTTTAATACTGTCCATACCTTTTTCTATATGATGTGCATAATTTATGACCGGATTTAATAAAACCCAAGTGTGTGTTCACACATTCATTGAACAGTTTTATGGTGTCAGCAGATGATAATTCCTTTTTGCAGTTTTCTTGTGGTTTTTAAGTGGATTAATATTTTTAATTAAAGCAAATACAGTAAAACTTGGTTATAGCAACATCGGTTTCTGCGACACCTTGTCTATTGCGTCAAATATTCAATGGTACGAACTAATTCCTCATAAAGCAACTGTTTTTATATCTTGCTTAGTATGACATGCACAAATGCATCAACCTCATATGTAACGTCATTTTCATTCCTGAATTTCTCTGATATCGTGGGAAAGTTCGATATGTCTGCCCACCCTCACTTTCTCTACTTGCTGACGTGACTGTCCTGGAAGAATACGACCGCGGGCTGCAAGAGGAGCGTGGGTTTTATGCGAAAACAAGGGTGTGGGGTGGGACTGCGTGAATAGTGCAAGAGGACGCGGCAGGTTGTTAACTGCATTCCTTTCTGTAACCGTTCATTCTGATTGGATTCTGTGTAGTGCTGGATGGATTGATAGGTTCAAGTTGCGTCACAACATTACGTTCGGTAAAGTGAGTGGTGAAGCCAGGGGTGTAAATACTGAAACTACAACTGAATGGCTTACTGCCGTGTGGCCCAGTATACATAAAGGATATGCAGACAAGGATGTCTTTAATGCCGATGAGACCGGCATTTTCTTTCGATTGACACCTGACAGGACACTGAAATTTAAGGGAGAGAAGTGTGTTGGCGGCAAGTTGTCGAAAGAGCGGATTACAGCTCTTGTTTGTGCTAATGCGACTGGAAGCGAGAAGAGGAAATTGCTTGTGATTGGAAAGTCAAAAAATCCTAGATGTTTTAAAAATGTGGAAAACCTACCAGTGCGCTACAGTGCTAACAAAAAATCGTGGATGACTTCTAGTTTGTTCGAAGCTGAACTCAGGTCTTGGGACCGGGAACTTCAAACAAGGAAAAGAAAGATCATCTTGCTTGTAGACAACTGTCCAGCGCACCCTGTACTTCAAAATCTAGAGAAGATTAAACTTGTGTTTATACCTGCAAACACTACAAGCGTATTGCAACCCATGGATCAGGGAGTCATAAGGAACCTGAAATGTCACTACCGCAAACTGATATTGTTAAGAATTGTAGAGAGCATCGAGAAGAAGCAAGATTACACAGTTACACTGCTGGACGCAATACGATTCATTGAAAAAGCATGGAGACGAGTAACTACAAAAACAATTCAGAACTGCTTCCGGCATGCGGGAATCTTATCAACTCAGGGATTGAATGGCACTGAGAATGAGGATGACACCAATAATGACGATGATTTACCTTTAACAGAATGGTTGCGTAAAGTCAATTGTGATGAACTAGGTCAGTATGACTATGAGGCATATGCAACAATAGACGACGACATTGTTACAACGGAGGCACAAACAGACGACGATATTGTATCGGAAGTGAAGAAGGATACAGAGGAGGAAGATGAGGTGGGAGGAGAAGAATGTTCCGAAGTCTCCATCCCTACTGTGAGTGACGCGCTTGAAGCCATTAGGGTTGTGAACTTGTTTTATGAATCCAGGGGAGGCAGCAGTGAAATTGTGACAAAAATTATGGACATTGAACGTAATTTAGAAAGTGTGTATTGGGCAAGTAACAGGAAACAGATGAAGATAACTGATTACTGTACTCGTATCTAGGTACAGTAAGGCACAACAATTGATGTAATCTACTGTAATTTGGTGAGTAGGCCTACCTTTAATATACAGTATTAGTGCGGTGTGTATTGTCAGTGAAAAGCGCTGTAATATGTCTTTGATATTACACATTTGGGCAATTCCACGTTAATGTTACGTTAGTCTGTACTTAACTACGTATTTCACTAAAAAAATGCAACATTTTAACTCGGTTTTTGGTAGATTTTTACGTGACTAACATAAGGCTACTGTGGAAGTGCCCATTTCGGTTACGACATTCGTATATAACGACACTATTTTTAGGTCCCTTTGATGACGTTATAACCAAGTTCTACTGTATTTTGATAGCAGTAATTTTTCATAGTGAAAGCAGATAGTTGCACTTTTCTCTACTGTGCTTTTTCTACAGCTTGTCAGCATCAATCCCTTGCAGTAATTTTGTAACTCTTCTTGTGTGTGTTTTAATGACACTGTAGTATTAATCCTAAAGTAGAAGTACCATTAGGCATAGACTTACAGCTTCTTCCGTTTTCTGAAAGATACCTACAGAATAAAAGTAAAGGAAGCAATACTGCTGGTGGAGTTCTTTTCTACTAAATTCTTTATAGTCACCAGTGTGTTATGTTCTCAGATCTTTTTATACCTACCATTGTTGCCAAGACTTAAGAGGAAGGATATAGATGCTGTTGGTTCATAATTTAAATTTTTTGTTTACCAGCAGCAGAGGAAAAGTTCACTTCAGTTATCCCACCGGACCAGTAGATTAAACATTTGTTTATATTGTGTAAAAGCTTCAGCTTTCTGATGGAAACCCACAGTGCTTTTTAATTTTAAAAGGGTTGTAAAAAGATTATAACTCCCAAACTATTGAATTTGGGTAAAATTTATACCAGTAAATTTCTTGAGAGAAACTGGCTGCTGGACATTAAATTTTATGTTCCTGAATCTTTTAAGTAAAAGAGGTATTTACATATTTGTTGAAAGTGGACTGCTGCTTGCTAACTTAATTATAATTAATGTGTAGGAATGTATTAACAATAAAGGATTTAAACTGTGGGAGAGCTGCTAGTAAAATAAAAATCATAAAAATTGATGTTGTGGATGGAAGATCATTCAGCTTTGTTTGATATGGTCTATAACGTACCAGATGAGAGGCATAACATAATGAAATTGTGGTTCTTGGACAACATTTCTGTCAGACACAAACTAATATACGAAAGACAAACTTTGAATTTGTTACTAATCTAGAATTTATAGAAGAAGAAAAGCTTGTGTTAAAAAGAAATTCAAGAGCTAAACCAACACTTGGAACTCTTGAGCTTCATGCTTTTCTGGCAATAAGAAAATATACTTTAATTGTGATTGGGAGCCAGGTTAGCGTAGTTGGTATAGCGACTGGCTATGGGCTGGACAACTGAGAGGTTGGAGTTCGAATCCCGGTAGGGTCGAAATTTTCTTTTCTCAGTGCCGTCCAGACCAACCCTGGGGCCCACCCAGCCTCCTATCTAATGGGTACCGGTGGCTTTTTCTCGGGGGGTAAAGCGGCCAGGGCGTGAAGCTAACCACTGAACTCCAACTAGTGCCTAGGTCAAGAAAATGTGGATCTATATATATATATATATATATGTTTCCGTGGTGTGGTGCTTACTGAGTTAAGCAAAGGGACAACTTTACATTTACCTTTTACTTGAGTTGTGATGAAATTTTCTGCCTCAGCAATGTGTGGAGAATTCATTTTAACTGAACTACAGGAAAACATGACACTGATGATAAAGTAGGTTTTGTGGCATGTGTTCAACAATGTTTGGTGGTTGGGATGTATTATGACAGTGAATGAGAACTCAGTGGAAGTGACAGTTTTCTCTATCATCCATCACCATCCTGTATGTATCCCCAATAGCTAGACATACCGAGCGTTCGTTTTTCATAGGCTTTAATGATAGTAGATCCTAGAACAGCTACAAGACAAACATTTTCTTGAACATATGTCAAAACACAAGGTATCTTTTCAAAGGGAGTACAAGAATGTATGAATAATTGACAATATTACCACCATATCTGTTGATGTAGTAACTTTTGTATTCTAGGGCTTGTTGCGTTAAGGGTGTGGTAAATGATGTCCAAGAATTAACTGTTTTATAGCTTTTTCGTGTTCATGATATTACTGAAAGATTATAAAATTATGTTGAACATTATCCATTGTCCTAGTTATTTTTGAAATTATGTGATGTTTTGGAAGCTGGATCTGCTTTTGTCACAGTGTAAAAAAGGGAAAAAGATACTGCTTAGTTGGACCTGTTATAGACAGGGCTAGCCTCAACCACTGAGCAATGAAGGGAGTCACGAGCAGAAAGATACATATTCTATCGCCATCACATATGTGTGGGAGATATAGATGCAAGCGGGAATACTAACAGCAGAGACATACAGGTATGTCAACTTCAAATATGCGCCAGAAATTTCAAGACTTAAATGAAAAGATGAACAATATTACCTTGTTGTCGTCTGTGAGTTTATTTCTCCTGAAAGAAACTACATACACACTATTAGCGTGTTGATTTACCACGGTATGCGTAATGTATGTGATGGGTAAGACGTGACGGTAAGAGCATTGCCTTCCTCATCCTCAATGAAATAGGGGCCTAATATACCGTTTGCTGAGATGGCACACCATATCGTCACACGTGTACTCTAGCGGTTTCTGGACGATAGCATCTGGCCGCTCAAAACCAAGGAAGTGAGTTGTCTGGCGATTGATGTAGTCCAAGTGAATGTGTATTTCGCCGGAGAACCACACATTCCTCAAGAAATCTGGATCCTCGTACGCCATGGCCAAAAATGTTCCATAATACACCACCCTGGCTCACGTATCTGACTCTGTCAAGCGTAGTCCAACCTGTATCTGGTACGGAAATCCACCTGTGTCCTTAAACAATCGCTGACATTCAGTTTCAAGGCTGTATGTTGCAGACTTCGTCGGGGCGAATGCAGCATCTGCTGAAGAACACTTGCGTGATTCTCTTTTGTCGAAACACTTACTGGCCGACCAGACCTCCCATTCCGTTGACACAGTACACTACCAGAACGGCGAAATTTCGTAACAATAGACAGCATAACTGTGTTACTTGGTGCCATCTTATTAAATCTCTCTTTGAATTGTTCTGTCACCTTTTTCACACTCGGTCGCCCTTCACGACCACTTCCATATGAGCGGAAAGAATATGCAACTATGAATACTTTTTCCTCCGTCAAGAGACCCATTTCCAACAACAGCTGCACAAAACAGCTTCGTTTTCACTAGTGGGAACACATGCGGCTGGAGCTATGCCCCGTCGATAAACGCACATGCGCGTTCGAATTGCCCGAGTTTCAGTACTGAAATTTTTGGCGCATACTGTATTGCCAGATGGAGTATAGGGTATGTCATATCCAGCTTCCAAAGTGCCATACAACTTTAAATACAGCAAAGACGGTGGACAATGTCCATCATAATTTCATAATTAATAACAGACCATTATCGGACTTCAGAGGAACGAGGCAAGAGATTTAATATCTCGCAGGGTGGAATTAACTGTATGTTACGTTACAACATTGTGAACCAGTACTCGTATATATTGTAGCATGTTGATCGTGAAGCAGACGGCTAGACAGCGGACTGTAAACTGTAACAGTAGTTGTTTTCTGTGTGGTCTTTGCTGAGGTGTTATAAGCAGGACATTTAGTGAGAGTTTAGGTGAGTTTGTTAGTGAATGAAAAGAAATGGAGGCCGTGCAAGAAAGAACGGACACCAATCTAAGGGAGATGACGGCTGAAATAAGCGCCAGTAATGAGAAGTTTGAGGCCCTTCAGGGTACTCTTGTCTCCCCGGATGGATATCCACCAAGCCATGGCGAGTCTGCTCAAGAAAAGTTTAATACTAAGATTGACGCCAGTCAAGAAAATATTGATTTTAAGAGGGACGCAAGTCAAGAAAAGATGAACGCCAGTGAAGAAATAATGGCCGACCTGAAAACCCACCTCCCACATTCAGGTAAACCAAGAAAGGGCGGAAGCCTCTCTCCGAGAGATGAAGGCCTGTCAAAAGACGACGGAGACCGCAGTATACCCCATCCTGTCCGAATTAGAAAGAACTATCAAACATGCGAAAGACAGTCTGGCGTGAGTCGATCTAAGGACGCAGGCCCTCCGCAAGGACATACAGTACGTAATGACGTCCATCGATAAGTGAACCGGGTGTCTGAAGGACGATATAACGGGCATAGTGATTGTTACGAGGCCGTAGCGAATACGAGGAAGGTCCTTCACGAAGAGATCGGCCTCATGTTCCAGGTCGAGGCTAAGACTCTTAATTCAAACCATCCGAAGCGAGTTTCACACGCAGCTGAAAGAAGTCAATGCCCGGGCCGAGCTCAGAAGAGGAATAGGAACCGGCGCGGGTACGGCGAAGGACCGCTTCAGGGACCAGCATCTGGCCTCCACGTATCGAAGTAAGCTAAAGCAAGGACCCAGGATGTCGGAGAATCCTTGGAAGAATCTGCCACAGCCGTCGAACAGCTGGCCCACCGCACCTACCCTGCACTACTTGAGGACCATATAAGTATAGGCCAGGCAAAGCGTTCAGCGGGGTAGAAGATCCCTCCATAAAAATCCAGCTGCTGCCGGGAGAAGAGAAGACGGTGAACGAGGCTCTCATGTAGGCCCTCGAGCTGCAGATCGTGCTCCCAGGCGCCATGGCCCCCAAAATGAGCCCCAGGACATTCTGGGGTGCCGATCGCTCCAAATGGGGCGAAGAGGCCAAAGGCAATCGGCGTACTGGAACTGAGGAGCAAAGCCACTTCCGGAGTAACTGCCCCTGCGGGCGGGAGGCAGAAAACGATGACCGTCACAGGAAACGAGAGACACGGGAACCGGCAGGAAGATCCGAATTGCGACCGAGGAACAAGAGAGGCGAACAGGAGGGACCCAGCCGTCAGGAAATTAGCGAATGCCGGCGGAAAATGGGGGACGCCAGCGTACACATTAAGACCCCCACCACGCGCTCACAACTGAAAGGACCTACCCCAGCCTAGGCACAGGGCTATGCCGTGACTGTCGCCAGGCCTGGTATCGGCGCCGGATGTCCCGGAAGACGGCCAAACCAACGCTACACTCAGACGGCAGACGGTGTGTGGGGAAGCCGTCTTCATCGTGAAGGAAGTTTTCTCGAAATCCCTGTGTGGCGGCCATTGATAATTTGGGTATTCGTTGCCAGTATCAAAGACGACTTCATCTTGGGGCTGGGCATCCTGTGCACACATATGATGCATCGCTATGTATCCCGGCTTTCTAGCTTGGTAGTAGATTATAATCCGGTCATACCTGGACAGTACGAGGGAGTTGTGATTGCTCAGTTGGAGAGCCGCTCGGGATGGAAAATAGCCTGGTATAACCGAGTCTGGAGGCCCACGCTCCCGAAGGACTACATAGCGAGGACCCTGTTTCGAGGCCGTGTGTAGGTACCCATTATGGTCCTGAATGTTACCAATGGCGACCAGCTCACGAAATGAACCCGACTGACTCACTGTGAGCCAGTCACACTAGTGACCCCACCCGATATTAAACAACCGCATATCCAAGACACCAGCCTTAAGCTGCAGAACGCGATTGCTGCAGCCAGGCAAAACCTGAGTGACGCTGAATCCCGAGAGTTGGAGGATCTCCTTACCGAATACGGAGACATGTTTACTATTAAGAGCGATGAATACGGACCGACCGACAGAATGTACGACCGTAAAGATACGGAAGAGGCCCGACCGGTTCGCCAACTCCCGAGAAGGCTTCCCCTAACAAAACAGGCGGAAGTAGTCGAGATGCTTGACGACACGCAACGACGTGGGGTTATCGAAGAGTCATTTAGCCCCTGGTCACCTTCCATCGTTCTCATCAGGAAGTATAACGAGGACCTCCGCTTTGGGGTTAACTATAGGAAACTGAACGTCACAAATTAGACTTTCACTGCCTCCCAGGATTGACGACACTGAACACGCTGACTGGAGCCAAATGGATCTCCACTTTAGAACTGAAGAGTGATTATTGGCAGGTGGACCTGCATCCGGATGACAAGAAGACTGCGTTCGTGTCGGGTCAAAGGCTGTCGTGGTTCACAGTTATACTCTTCTACATGTGCAACATTCCAGCGACGTCTGAGCTGTTAACGGAGACCGCATTAAGATGCCTCGCAAATCATGTCTTGTGTGCCAGAACGACGTAATCGTGATTGGCCGCACGTTCCGAGAGCACCTGAACCTCCGAAAAGTATGCCAGCGGTTCCGAGAAGCCCGCCCAAAGCCAAATCGGGAGAGTTGCCAAGTCCTGCAGAAGGAAGTACGATGCCTTGGGCATGTCACCCGAGGGGGTGACAGTCGACCTCGAGAAACTGAAAGCCGTACTGGAATGGTGGACCCCTTAGAACAGACATGAAATTTGAAGCCTCCAGGCTCTATCTGTGCACGCATTATAGAAGGTTTATTTTCGGTTTCGCCAACATTACCAAACCACCAACCAAACTCACGGAGGAGAAGCAAGACTGTTGTATCCCGAAGTTCCTCGCTGGATGCCCGGCGCTGGCGTATCGTGGATGTTACCGGCGCACAAGTCAGGTCTAGGTCTGGTGCTCCCTAGGCTGGGCGCGCGTGGAAATCGCTGGGTATGCGGGTTTACAGAGGAAGATTGTTTGATCCGACAAGAGTGGTGTAATCAGCAAATTGAGTTTATTAACTAATTTCTGTTGATTACACATGTACGCTACACCTGAGGACTGATAGCTAGGGTTCCAGGGAGGGAAGGCTGTCTTGGCTCTACCTAGCCGCTAACTCGGTCAACCACTCGTCTCTCGCTCCGTCTGCATCAGACTGTGTTTTCATTCTTTGTTTTAATAACACCACCAGTCGTAAGGAATATTTCAGAGCAGGGCTCCGTTAGTTTGCTTGCTTATGTCTCGCGTCTTTTTTGTGTGGGCTTCGCTCCCTGGACCGTATTTGTACATGATCTTAGCAGCCACACAGCTGCCTAAGACGGAGGTCGCGTCTGACCCTCTTGGTTATCTCGACTGCATGCTTGCGTCCTCATGTGTCGCTACCATTTCTGTTACATTTCTATTAAAATTAAATGCTAATGAAATAACATATTAAGAGTAAATGCAAATGAAATAACATAGCGTATACAGCACCTTTACCAAATGAAATAGTTCTTATACAACAATAACGCATATACAACAAGACTTCCAGTGGGCCCTATGAGTGGAGGTCGCCTTTCAAACTCTAAAGGAGGCCCTATGTGTTTCCCCTATTCTAGCTTACCCGCAGCTAAGAGAAACATTTGTAAACTATAGACCCAAGTAACTTACGAATTGGAGGAGTGCGTTTCCAAGTATGGGAGAGGAGCGAGTAAATAGCCTGCTACATTAACACGGTGAATAAGCTCGAGAGAAATTACTGCGTTACCCGGCGGTAACTACTGGCCATCGTGAGGACTCTAGAACATTTCAGTAGGTACCTCTACGGACAAGATTTCCACATGTGCACCGACCACTCTGCATTAAAGTGGCTGCCGACCAACGGTTAGTGAAGACGTGAGTGTGGACTCTAATGTTTGTGTGTAACTGAATTGTAAAGTCCAGTAACGCGTCATATCAAAGAGCCCAATAAATCCTACCCTCAATCCAAAACCCGCCCATAGTCGTACAGATACGTGTAACAATATATTTATTTTCGAAAATTTGTATTGAGTGAGGTGATAGTCTACTTGCAGGGAGCTTGGAAGCAAATTTGTTGGCTTAGAAATTCCTTCCTAGACTATGTAGACTCTGTGCCTCTCTGCACACAAGTTGCTATGCTTGCTACCTTGCTTCATGCTGGTGTCTTGCTGGGCTTATACTTTGACCCTGAAGATGGTGATATGTTCTTCTGAAACGTCGGCTGACTAATTTTTCGTGGATTACACAGCATTATATACCAGACGATAGAACTTACCATTTTAACGCTTTGCACATTAACAGTAGTTAAAGTTATGTAATTTCCCTACATCTTTCACAGTCCTTGCAGAAATATACAGTATTACCATC